GGGTTTGCTGTCAAACTGAAGCGCCCACTACAACCTTCACCACGACTAACGCCCGAAAGACACCCCTATTCAGAAGAGTATATAGGATCTTCTTGATGACGATGACCTATATACATGGTCCACGACGTGGGAGATGCTAGAGACGGTCTTCTGTAAGCGTCTACCATATGATTCACCAGCTTTTGGCTGAAATCAGAGAACTCACGCCTCAGAGGCTCAGAGGCTCAGAGGTAATTTCAGGCTTAACCTGTGGACCGTCGCAACGTATAGAGAAATATCGAAGACCGAAGACTGGCAACGTACTCTACATCCATCTTGACAGGGCATTTAATGAAGTTTCCTGAGTGTCAGGACTGTCCATCTCTCCAGAGGATGGGTTCTGTCTGGCCCTTGTCCCAGTCAGACCGAGAACAATCCAATCTCAAGCCTTAAGGCGTGCACGTAGGAACCCGACCACATCACGCAGAAACGCAATTTGTGGTCAAGGGGAAAAGCACCATGCGTTCGAGGTGTGCAATGTTCAAGTCGTTTGCCAATAGAACTATTCATGGTGAGGGGACCAGCCTGTGAGGCAGCATAGGAGCAACGAGCTGTAAGAATGTGGCATACTATTTTCCCTACTGCACATATCCTCGAGAAAGTCATTTTCAAGATGGCAATACAACACCAACTAGTGCGCACAGGTCTTGCGTTCAACTAGACAATACGGTGTTGTTGGGCCTTTCTGATTTGGCTCGTTATCCTGAACACCTGCCGTCTATGCAGCATTACTATTCTGACGTACATGGAGGAATGTAGGCTCTCACAACGAAGCACTGCTTTGTGTTAGCTTGGGCGGCGATGTGACACGGAGGCGAGGCGGGATAACTCAAGCAAGAAACAAACATAAGAAAAAAGTGCTCTCTTCAGGCCTGCTTAAGATGGCTCCCTAGCTCGGCACACCATCTATATCAGAGTAACATGCACCGTATTCCCGCCATGACGCGGCTCAGAGAACCCAGCCAAAAGCGACAGAACCAGTCCCAGCCCTCATCACCAGTCACAACCCTCAGCCAGCAACGCCGCCAGCTTCTCGAGCCACTGCTGGTCGACCTCGTCGAAGCCGTCGAGCACAGCGCAGTCAATGTCGATAATGGCCACGACCTTGCCCCCCTGGGCAACAATGGGCACGACAATCTCGCTCTTGCTGTCGCCGTCGCAGGCAATGTGGCCCGGGAACGCGTCGACGTCCCGCACGAGCTGCGTCTCGGCCGTCGCCGCCGCGGCGCCGCACACGCCGCGCCCGAACCGGATCGTCTGACACGCCACCTTGCCCTGGAACGGGCCGAGGATGAGCTGGCCCGGTGCCAGCGGGTCCAGGACGTAGAAGCCCGCCCAGTTGACGGCGTTGCTCGGCGCAGCGAGGGAGTGCAGCGCGTGCCAGAGGAGGGAGGCCGCGTTGGAGAGGTTGCTAAAGAGAAAAGGGGGACGAGTCAGGACTGGGGCGGGGCCTTTTGGGGGACGACGGGACGGGTCGGGCAGGGTGTGTCCCTCACATAAAGGTCACAGAGAGAGAGAGTAGGTACTTACCAGACCTGTGATGATACGTCAGTTTGTCTGTCATCTTGGCACGAGGGGTGTTCAGCTGCTGCTGCTGCTTACCCAGTTTCGCTGTTCGTGGAAAAGACCTTCGGCGTGGAGGAGGACCTGCTCGTACGCTTCCACCTTGGTTACGCCCTTGGCGAAGTTGGAGGCATCGGCGTGGACCTGTCGTATTCAGCTTCCGCCACCAATCCGGTGCTCGCCGAGTGAAAACAGGGAAATAAAAGGGGGACGCACCATCTTGAGATATGACAAGCTATGGCAACCGCCTCGTTCTCGGTGAGCTTGTCCTGTCTCTTTTCAATTGGGCGAGTTTCCAATAGTGTGAGCGACACATTTTCGGCGTCCACACCGACCTGCCAAAGCAATTGCGCCATAAAAAAAATTGAACCATCACGTCACGTAAGCGAGACCTCAAAGATGCGTCACACTCTGTTCTTCTCCATGACGTCCACTTTTGATCTTTCATCTGTCTGCATGAAATCCACCGCTCTCGAAAAAAGGGTTTCTCACTCCCAATGCCGCAATGGAGATTTAATTATGGACACCACGAGCTCGTGACACCTTTTTATTTATTTCTCTCTTATTACGTCGTTTCTGCTTGCTGACTGGCCGTGACAGCTCAACCCCCTTTTTGATATCCTTGGCGCTCTGATCATGTGTCGCTTTTCCTTTTCATTATAAAAAACGACCACTATATCGCTTCTATTGCGTCCCCCGGCCCCCGCTGCCCCGGCCCCCGCTGAAGAAGTCATTTATTGGAGGGCCTTCTTGGCAAAGTTGGGCAGGACAAAGGCAGCCTTGTGAATGTCGGCGTTGTAGTACTTGCAGAGCTTCTCCTCCTCCTCGGCGGACCACTTGCGCAGGGGCTCGCGGACGTTGCGGTTGGCGTCCTTGCAGCAGACCATGAAGCCGATCTGGCGCTGGGGTAGGTGGGGATGGTGGTGTAGGCGTACTCGGCAACGGGGAAGATCTCGTTGCAGGCTCTTGCGGAGCTTGGTGATCAGGGGCAGGTGCAGCCACTGGTTCTCGGCTGTTGGCATGATATCAAACACCTCCAATCCCTGTGGGAAACATCACCAAATGCACCGGGTAGAGAGAGACTGGGGCGCGAAGGCTGACCGGGTCCCCGTTGTATGGGAGCTGGCAACACCTGGATCATGACCCTTGGCATTCTCATTGTGCACATATTCCCAGATGACTCGCCTGGATGTAGTCCATGATGACTGCTCACTATATACAGCTTAGAATCGCTCGACGCTCAGAAATGGGCAGGAGGCGGGTAGAAAACATAAATCATATTTGTGGGATGATGCCCATCGATCG